AAAGCCTTTTTCTGTTTTATAAAATCAGTATTTGTCCACAATCCCACCAGATGGTACTTAAGTAGTAATGTTTCGCACTGACCTAACTTATTATAAGTCTATTCACTTCCCTGTGAAATCAAAATACGTTCATCCGATGTTGAAAAAGCTTTTAGACGATTAAAAAGTCATTTTCAGCATCATTGAACATGGGCCTTCTCGAGAATGCAGCTGGAATGTTATTTTTGAAAATTTCCCATACGCAGAATGCTCTGTAAGCTTTACAAGCCTGTGTAATTTGGGTCCTCAATTTTGAGATGGATTTTGCGCCATAACTCCGCATCATAAGCTGTCCGGTATGGTATCGATATCCAGAAATCACCCGTGCGAAGTCGGGGTGGATCGAATATAGGATATTTTTACATAAATAACTAATCAGCATTGGTCTCGGGATATTCTCATTTAGCCTATAATATGTTCTAAATATCTTTATATTTATATTACATAATTATAATGTCCGTGTATAAGTGACTGAACTCGTCCTAAACGGGTGGACCGATTTTGATGAGATTTTGTATGTGTGTGATTCAGTTGATTCGAGAAGTGTTTAGATTCACAATTAGACCCGATAGGTGGCGCTGTTGTCAAGATATAGAAATCACCCGTGAGAAGCCGAGATGGACTGATAATATTAATAATAATAATCTTTATTGATAAACATATTATATGCACAAAAAATTACAGTGGTCAACAGTCCTTTCACTATACCTGGATATTATACCTGCGTTTGAGGTTCTAGTTTTCTTCCCTATTCTTAGTTCTTATTACCATAATTTATTTATTGATTAATAATTTATTTTCAAATATTCCTTAAAACGGAAGTTATAACAATTCAAAAATAAAGATAAATAGATAATGTAATGTTGACACATTTGTTAGAGAAAAGGTTGATATAATATTGGATCTTGCATCCCGATTAGTAAGACGTTTGTTTTACTTATTTGTTTAAAAAGTAACAAGTGAACACACAACCCTTCTGATGGTAAGTACAATTACCATAGAATAAATAATAGTACTACTTAGAATAACGGCTCCGTCGTGCAGTAGCTTTAGCAATGAGTTGCGGCGCTAATCCTGCACGGTGCACAATTTTTATTTATACAGAGTATGGGTGCAAACAAGCACATAGTCCACCTGATGGTAAGTGGATGCTGTCGCCCATAGACATCTACAATTATAATAATTAATTGTATAATGTTTAAATGTACTGTAGTCAATTGTTCCGGGTCTGGATGTTTGTCCTTGTGCAATTTATGTATTTAAACTGAACTATATAGAATAAAATCCTGGTGTGGGCGTAACGTTCTTTGATAACAAAAAATTAAAAAAATGTGTCACTCCTAAGGACTAAGATGAAATGGCTCATTGCAAGTCACAAGGAGAACTTTTTAATTAGTAGCGAGACTGAGTTCTCGTCACTGATTAAACGAAATACAGCAGAAATATGTTGCTATTTCTCGCTGTGGTCTATTTCCAGTCGAACTGACCCCTTTGAATACAGTCATAATAAGAGTGGTTCTACATAATAAAAATAGAGGCTAAGATTTTTGTACCTTAACCACAAGAAGGTATTATTGATTTTCTCTATATATAAAATCAAATGCAGTCCGTTAGCCTCTCTATAACTCGACCGATTTTTGACCTATTCTGATGATTTTTTTAGGTGTGTTTGAGTAGGATGGTTTAGATTCAAAATTGGACCCGATAGGTGGAGCTGTTGGCGAGATTCAGAAATCGAACGTGCGAAGCCGAGACGGATTGCTAGTTAAAAATATAAATTGAAAATCGACTTTATGTCTTGTTGTCGTGCTGGCTGAATCTGACCTAGGGTTTTTTGAAAATCCGAGAATGCGATAAACTCGTACGCGTATTCCGTACATAAGGACCGTGTAATGGCGGTGTAAGAATATCCAATAAGCCATATCTCTCTCATAGCCATGCTTCGTAGGTATTGTAAGAGGCAAAAGATCAGCGTCTTCCGAATTAAAACTAAAAAATAAAAATTTACAGCAACCAACCTGCTTTCTAATTGCCAATATTCCTCCTATATACCAATCAATGGGAAGGCCTATATTCGGCAGTGGACTTTGTTAGGCTGTAATGATGATGATGATCCTGTGATTGTTATGATAATGTTCATATTATACGTAAGAGGACTCAACAAATTCTTTAATATACATACATACTACCAATATAGGATAACAGTACCGCGTTCTGCCAAGTCACGCTTCTAAACTCACTCACTCTTTTCCGTAAATGCCGATCTACGATCTACGTGCATGATGATTTCGTTTATGCAACGCTACACTTTCGATTGATTATTAATTATCAAGCTACTTTTAACTACCGGATTGTGATTTAACACTATAATTATGGTTTCAATTAATAAATAACAGCCAATTATTACTGGCTCGTGATATTCGCGAAAGTAAACTACGTTATGCGTAATTTAAATTCAATATTTTAAAGTAGGCACGCATAATTTCATATATTCATCAATATTATTACCTTAGATAGCAGATCAGCAGCTTAGCAGAGCTTATGCAGAAAATCAAGTTTGGTTATTAGAACCTTATTAACTGAATATTGTGCGAATAGATTGGAGTTAAATTTCGCAATCCAAACCAAGCTAACCGGTTCATATGTGTATTGCAGCTGTGTCGATTTATATCAGTTTAATAATACAAATCTTGCCGAGCTTATAACATTAAATAAACACTTTTTTTTAGCATCAACATCAAAACCCTTCTTAAGGTGAAGATAAGGTTGATTTAAATTGATTTTTTTTTCGGAATTAAAAAATGTTTACTATTTCATAGTCATTATATAAGATTTAAGTAGATCACAGGACACTCATATTACGACAGCTAAATGTAAAGGTTTAACTTTACTTTTAAGATGTCTTAAGTTGAGAAAGATTAAATAAAAATTCTTCGAACATTTAAAGTACTAAAGAATAAGGCGCATTTAAATTAACAAAGGAGGAAAATGAGGTAAGCTGGCGGAGTATTAATTTCATCTATAAATTTATAAAACAATATACCAAAATGTGGAATTGAAATGTTATTTGATAATTAAAATCATTCTACTGCATCGGTGTCAGTAACATCAAATATGATAATGTGACTAGACCATAGATGACTATATTATATACTGGAGAAACTAGATTATTTTGAAGACTGTGTTTCTATATGCATAAGTGAAAGTGAAGTGTACACCGTCATCAAAAACTTTTTGCTCTTCATTATATATAAAATTAAAAAGTTTCTCTTGTTTATTTTAAACCTATTATATTAGTAATAATTTTCTAGTGTATTACTTAACATAACCTGTTTCATTAAATTAGAAACGGTTGCATCTCTAGTAATTTTTCTTTCCATTTCGAGAATGTGATGGTATTATCGTTCACTGGCCGTGTAAGGAACAGAAACAAAACATTTTTATTCAATACAGATTATAAATAATATTTATTGAAAGTTACTCCTTTGTTTATAAATTGCCATTGGATCGGAAAAAAAAACTTTTTTCCCGGGAAGAACCAGCAAAAAACCAAGCGGGACTTTAAAAAAAAATAACAGCTGACACATATGTTACACAATTAACAACACAAAAGAAAGAAGAGATCCATTGCCCCATATCATCCCGTAGGAGTTGAAAGAGGCGAAAGAGGGAAAAATTCAGGAAATGGGCAGCAGCGTCTTCTTAATAACGACTAAAAACCCGCTTGCCAAGCGTGGCAACTATAGCAAATATACCTTCTATGAGGCAATCTATGGGGAGGCCTATATTCAGCAGCGGACTATATATATTTACAAAATTAGATGATATCATTAAAGATTCATACCTCGAAATACTGGCACCGACTGTGCAAGTTTTCCGAGGTATTTAGGTAGCTAGGTGATTGGCCTCTTTTTCTGTTCAGGAATTCGTCTTGGTAGGTCATATCGCCCTACCTATACCGATCACTAAGCAACATTCTTATGCTTTGATTTTATAATAAATTATACATAAGAAATATGGTAGAAAAGTGTTCATATAATATAATAAAGTATCACATATATTACCAGTGTTGATATATAAAAACTTATGGTTTTAAAGTACCTAGTCCTCAGGGATAAAAACGCATCTTTGGTCTGCTTTTCGGATATCCATGAGCAGAAGTCACTTACAATAAGGTTATGCTGTTAGCTCGTTTGTCAATGTTTATAAAAAAATCATCTTGGTATCTATTAGTCAACATAACGTTCAAAACCGAATTTTTATTTTATGCAGTTCTTCTAGAATTTAAAATGAATAGTTGAAAATGAGCGATGAATGATTGTAACTTAAACCTATATAAACACAATTTTGAAAATATACAGGGTTATTTTGCATTAATCGGCCAAATTTGCAGAGAAGGTTCAGAATAAGTAATATAGGCAAATGGTGAAGTAAAATTAATTGAAAAAATCTCAAACATTCGGCCATCTTTTAAACTCAAAATGATCTTAACTGATTTTGCTGCGCACGCATACATTCGTAAAGGTTGATCGATAGGCAAAAACGTTGTTGCTCATAAAATTTGGGATATATCAAATAAACGTAGAAGCTTTATTTACTCGTATTTTCAAAAACTGCAATAACAGTATATCATTATTTATGTATTTGAACTTAAGTTTAAAATTTTACTTCTCTTTGAAAAATAACCGTATATATTTCATCAGTAAATTTTATAGTGGAAAACCCGCGTTAATGTATGTATGTATGCCCTGTTAAAAGTTATCTTGAGGAAATATCAGAAAATTAATCACATGAAAATCATGCAACTTGAGTTAAAATTATCAGATTAAAAAAAATCTAGTGCTATCAAATGTTCTAAACAAACTAATAGTTGAATCGAATGACTAGCTTACAGCTCAAGAATATTTGTAATCCGAAATGTGACTGTGTATCAACCACTAAGCAATGTTTTTTATTCTCAGTTGGCGACAGCCCGAAAGAGATCTCATCCTGGATTTCTAACACGCAGGAAGCAAGCTACTTCAGCATGGCAGTCCATGGTCAAACGTTCTTCAGGCTGAACTATCCGTTGAAACTGAACACGTAAGTTTAATATTTTTTTTTTTTGCAAAAAATCTCCGTCAATCCCACTGCCTATAGATCTCGCTAACGAATGCCATAAAATGTAATTTTGAGACACTTGCCGTCATTAACTTTCCGTATATCCTACTATGTCGGTACTTGGTCTAGCCACCCTGCGCTAGGCGCCACCCACAAGAATACAATTTTTTTAAATGTCAGTTCACCGGCATTACGGCATAGTATGGCAAGTCAGGAATTTATGGGCGTGATTTCCCTTTTTCGTTCACCTGTATGCGCTGAAATCTTAATCACAGAATGGAGCGAAGTCTGTTTGTTAGCGACTCATACAATCCATCACAAAAGCCTTTTTCGACGCTTCTTTTGTTTCTGTAATTCATTTGTGAGCGAGCACAAAATTCGTTTCGCCTGGCAAAATATGCTTTGTGTCCGTTCTGAATACAAAAACAAACTATTGCTAAAAATTCTACGAAATGTTTATCCCTAGCATAGCGTTTAAATAAGCACGAAAACGCGCACACATTCCGAATGAAAGATTTCGACGGTGCCATCCTTTTGGATGTAACTCCGATAATTTTTGTTTTAATAATCTAATCTGTTTTGCATACTAAAAACCTTCGGTCACCGAACCGTAGCCAGTAGAGGGAGGCTTTTTGTTATATACATATTATTATAATTCTTAAGGCAACAATACGAATATAGTTTCACATTCTTTAACATTATATTATATAAGCTATAAAGTAAAGTAAAGTTACAGTCTATTTACGTCCCACTGCTGGGCACAGGGCTCCTCTCATTTCTGAAAGGGTTTTAGGGCAAGGAAATATCCGCCGCGCTGCCCCAATGCGTGTTGGCGAACTTCACATGTCTTCGAAATATTTTTTTTTCTTATTTCTCAGACATGCAGTTTTCCTCACGGTGTTTTCCTTCATCGCCGAGCACGTGGTAAATCAGCGCTTAAAATTGCAATTAACAATTTCATTGGTGCCGACAGGGATCGAACCCGGGTTGCTCGAGTACTGTGAAGCTTACAGCGAGCGCTAACCATCTGAGCTACCACGGCTCATAAGCTATAATCTAAAATAAATTAATATCTATAAACAGGTAAATGATAGGGTCGTAAGAGACGGCAGAGGGAAACTGAAACAGAAGATGGGCGGCAGCGGCGTCCTGATTACAACTCGTTAAAAAAACTACCGTTGGCAACAAACTATAGCAAAAATCCCCTGTGAGACAATCTATGGGAAAAGCCTAAGTTCAGTAGTGGGCTTGAAAGGTCTGTTATGTATTAATGAATTTGTCAATTAACCTTCTGTTCCGTGGTTCATACTCGTATATAATATTTAATTAACCTTTCATGTATTATTTATGAAAATATTTCCATGTTTGAGGTTGATACATAAAATCCTGTAAATAAAATTTAAACTTTATGATATGTTACAGTGCTATACTAATATCGGTATTTGAATAATCCGAAAAGGGATAATTAAATGGTTCTGTTAAAATATTTACGTCATAATTTTCATCATTTTGCGACGGCTAACTGACTGTTTTAATTGAAAATCCAGATTTTGTCACGGCGGCGGTGGAAATAATATTTGGAAAATGTCATGAGTAGTTTACTTTCATCAATTCGTTTTAATAATCACAATACAGCCTACATACGTCTCGCTGATGCATAGTACTCATCCAGAAATGATTCTGAGAGGGTTTTAGGGCAAGAAAATGTCCACCGCACTGCCTCAATGCGTGTTGGCGAACTTCACATTTCCTCGAAATATTTTTTTCTTATTTCTCAGACATGCAGGTGAGCTAGGCTCGTTATAAATTCGTTTTAAGTCATTATAAACTCGGCGTAAATATCAGGATTATTATATTTATATTTATGTGATTTAACTTTTCGAAACTATTCATTCTCCTATTAATCCTCCCTCCCTTTAATTTGTCAAGATTAATACTAAGCGTCGGTTTACTTCCTTTTTTCCTAGACATTTGCTTTGCAAGTTTACAGAAATAATACGTCCTATCATAATCCTGTAGTAAGAATGTGTCGCCTGTATTGATTAATAATAGCAAAAATATCGACACACTTGTATTAATAACATAAAGAAAACATGTGTACAGTTCACACGAGGTAGGAGTGAAACCTTCAGAAAAATAAACTTCGAGAGAATGAGACGAATGCAGTGTCAGGAGTAGGATAACTGTAGGGCTTATTTGTTATGATACTGTTACTAAGTTTAAAAATTATATTATACATTATATTATAGATAATAAGAAACACTGTATACTGTATTCTATCTCATTCTCTCGCAGGCTAAATCCTATGGATGTATATGTTTGTTTCTTTTTAGTGTCGCTTTTCCATTTCATGGAGTTTTAAATCACAACGATTCTAAAGAAGTTTTCACTTCTATAAACAATATCAAGATATCCGTTTTAAATACACTTTGTAAATAAGGCATTCAAGGCTACAATGTTATTGTAAATACAATGTTTTTATTAATATCTAATTCTCCAAAATTTTCCACAACATATTTCGTATACATATGTTATAAGTATTTGTGCTATAAACTCGTTCCTATTAGCTAATATCATGTTGTGTGCACATGTTTTGGTATATGGTATTTTGATGTTATTCTGTTTTGTATACCTAAATAAATAAATTTAAGTTTTTTTACTTATTATAAGCCAGTGTTATTTTTAATAAGATTTTGTGAGTACAAAATTGTTTGTGGTAAATTTTGGCTCGCTCCATTCCATTACAGCCTATAAAAGTCCACGCCTCCGCGTAGATATTCTTACACCGCCCTTATACGAATCGAGATGCAATAACAATATTGACTTCAAGACAGTGTCTGTCTATGCACAATTAGGCATTACCAGTACCCGATTATGGTAATCGAAATCGGTCGAGCATTATTGAACTGAAAATAATAATACTTAAAAAATTGTTGGTATATCCGTTTAAAACACATAAAATATACTAGGTTTTATATTTTTGTCACGTCCTACTAAGAAGTTTGGTGAGTTAAAGTTATTGAATTGTTATAAATACTTAAACAGGATATCAATAATCAGGTTTCCTGGAGGCACACATTATAAAATTTTTTTTTCGTAATACAAATATACGCTAACGCGAGACATCGCAAAAAATTTGATTGAAGTAGACAAACAAGTTTAAATGTTATGTCCCAAAATACAGTCACATACGTACCAGTTAAAAACATATAAATCAAAACAAAATTATGTTATTAACTCTACATAGTAAAAATGTTTTTGCGTATTTATTTTAATTTAGGATCTTATCACGTGGCAAACAGGATTCTATATTCAAATATTAATAGTACATTGACAAAATTCCGACTCTGTGCAATTTTATTTGTATTGTTTATTCCGTGCACGGAGATCTAACATGGAAAGCCTTCCTTTCAGTAAAAAGGGTCTCCAGTTCTCTACACCCACAATACGAAGAAACCCAGTGACATAAGTCCAGCAGCATTAAAGTTCTATTTTACGCTGGTATTCTGTAAGAGCGTGGTCCTTTTCCGGTCGGACCGACCCATTCGTGTATGATATATCTATAGCAGGTAGTAACTCTACCTCTCTACCTCTCCTGTATAGGAAGCCTAAATAAAATCGCTTTCAGCGATAAGATCGCCCAATGGATCCTATTTGTCCCCTTGATTTTTTTTATGTATATATATATATATATATACGCAATCAAAATGTTATCTATTATTTATCATCTATTTATTTTAAGAACTTTTTTACGTCCGTTTTAATAAATACAGTGGCATCATTTTAGTAATACTTTACTAAGGGCAAAAGTTGATTATATTAATTATAATTTAATCTTTTTACTTTTATTCATTAAAACGAAAAAAATACGAGTTATTATTAATAGAACGTTTCACTAACAAAAAAAATATGTAGATTAGTGAAAGGATAACAGTAACTAATACATTATTAGATAAGAGTAACTAATACATTATTCTCTTTATTAGCATGTGCCTGCAAAGTACATGTAGTTGTTTTCGCACGCAGTCTGGGTGGACTGGTTCGGAAAGTGGAGCAATATTACGATATGCTGTAATAAGTAATTCGTGTCCCACATACGCCAGCCGGTAAAGACTGTCACTACCATATCGATTTCGAAATCGGATTAAATATTTCCCTTTGACAATGTGTATTTAAAGTGATATAATAAGTTAGTCGCGTAATGGCGGTCGTTCTGAGTGTAATTATTGTAAACATCCATCATCCCAATACGCCGCATGGGTGATGTAAACGGAGACTATAGGAAATGGTAGATGTTTCTCAAAGTTAAACAAATGCCTACTAATAATTATCGGTATAAGTACAAGTCTCGTTATAGTTAGGCTAATAATACTCAGAACCGTGACAGGTAGTAGCTTCAATGCTGTGTTGTCTAAGTGAGGGACGTCTGATCCTGTGATCGTCGATACGCTTTCCTAGCGCGAATTCTCCCTACGTCGGGAGGGGTTAATTTTTTTATTTTGATCTAAAAAACGTAACACAATTTTTTCCTGTATCATGGAGGTGGCTTACATACATAAATTTCACAAGGACAAACATTCAGACTCGGAATATTTATTTGTAAGGCTATACAAATAATTGTTCCGTACGGGATTCAAACCCACGGAACTTAGTGCCGCAACTATTGCTATGCCACTGTGCTACGGAGCTGTCTTCGAACGAAGATTCTTCTTAAGGAGTTTTAGGTGTGTAAAGATGTTTCGAATCCTTACACTCTTATAACCATTCGTAATTACACAAATCTTAGGAGATCTTATCAAATACAAGTACTTGCCGTGTGTACATAAGTAAGGTTATCATCTTATTTTGATCAGTAGGTGTTGTAAGAGGGGATTTCGGGGCAAATTAGAAATATCTTGTGGCGAATGGCGGCGCAGAGCCTAGCCCTGGTTATCGCCAATATAACTGCCAAGTGTGGCGATTGAGACAAGTCCTTCCCATAA